AGATAGGGAATTAAGTGTATAATAATGCCTATCCTTCTTTATTTTGCATCCCATTATTTTAAACAAGGTAAACTCTCTCTCAAGACCAGCCTATACCGTTTTGAAATCGGGTTTGTAAATGAACATTTGGTAAATAGCGAGATTATATAGCCTGTTACATTATAGTGATTTTCTTAATTATTTTTACCAAAAATGCTGCTCTTTTAAGCTTTTTCAAAATTAACATTTTAGATTTTAAAAAAAATAATCATATAAAGTATCTATATATATATAAAAATAATTAACATTTACCATAAATAGTAATAAGGAAAAGTCAACACACATTTATTATATACTATTTTTAGCAATTTTTTTATTTTACATTTTAATTTTAATTCATTATCAAAAAATTGGAGGATTCCTAAATTAATGAGTTTTAGATGATGTATCATGTTTCAAAAATTATAAATCATTTAAAATCGGATGGTTCCTAAATTAATGGTTACAAACTTTTCAAATTTTTAATCTTTATGACATCTTTTCTTTTTGACTTTTAATAATAAAATCATTTTAAATATATATCTTCTAATCCAAAAATTCAATCATGTTATATGTATGTATATATATATATACCCAATCAATTAATCTTTTTTTTTAAATTACTATGTTTATTTTTTATTAATATGCATAAAATAAAAATAAATAATTCATCTTTAGATATATAATTTATAATCTTAATATACTATCATTTGGTATAGACATATGAATCATAAATTTTTTTTTTATTTCATAAAATTAAATATTATATTTAAAGAAAATATAATGAAATTACTTTTGAATCAATCGGGTGATTGAATTAGGGTATTGCCCACGTTGATTGAATTACTTTTAGGTGATATTTAAAATAGTCAAAAAACTTGACATAACTTGGTTGGTCCCAGGTAACTAAGTTATGTATCAGTTTAACTAGACCAAATCGATTATTGAACATAAATATAAATTAAATATTGAAAATACTTTATTATGTAGTCCAAACTTCAAATAATCATATTAACAATACTTTTACGACAACATGATTAATAATTTATGAATATTTATATATTATTTTATTATTATTTATGTGAACAAAATAATTATTTTATTATCATTTTTATCAATGTACGCTAAATATAAGGTTTTCAGAACCGGAACGTCATCGAAACGATCAAGTTATTTTATTAAATCATTTGTGGTTGTTCAGATTTTAATACATAATACTTTAATATATATATATATATAATACTTTTTGTAGTAAATTTAAATAAAAAGTGTTACTTAAATATCTAAACAATTTATACATTCAAATATTTAAACTAATTGATAAACAATTTATAAATCTCTATTTTATTTAAATATGTAATTTTATTTAAAATAATTTTTAATGTAACAAAATTTGTTTAGAAAATCGTATCGATCCTACCAGTCCAACATACTGATGTTGACGGATTCGATAGCATATATTTTATTCAAGCGCAATATACTGGTTATAAACTTGTTCTCGGTCCATCCGGTCGGACTGTGTCCAACCCGGTTTAATTTAAAAATAATAAGTAAATCATGATTAATGTTATTTATTTATTTAATTTATAATACAATCAAAATATTGTTTTCCCGTGCATCGCACGGGCCACGCACTAGTATAAAATAAACTAACAACAACATTTGATTGGTCAATCGTTAAGTCCGTTTGTATCCACTAATAACTAAACAAGTTGAATATTAACTGTGTGATATCATTATCATTCCACGAAAGAACACTCAATCAATAGTCCTTCCTATTATATTATTACGGTTGCGTCTTATAGCATAACAATTAAATGAAGGGCTCCAAATACGCAAAATTCACTTGGCCAAAATTATATATATATATATATATATATATATATAATTATAATGGAATTGCTAGCTCCATCCTCCAACGAATTAGAACATATACCATTTGGCTGGCATTGATCAGATCACACAAGAATAGATGCAAAGTATGATTTAACATAAAGAGGCCAAACAACTGCACCCAACTACACCAAAACCCCTCTATATAAACACACCCATTCAATAACAACACAATCACAAAGCAAAAAATAAAATATGGCCACACACCAGTTGTGCAAGCCTTGTGACCATCAAATCAATCACACGGCAACATGCCACGAGAAGATGACCACGAAAGTCGAGACGTGCCACAACAAACACGCTCACGAGCACTCCTTCACAGACAAAGTGAAGGAGATGACTCACAAGATCTTTGACCACAACAAATACCCCCACAACAACAACAATAACAACTGCCCCACCACTGGCGTGAAAGCCCATCACCATCACCATGTGAAGAAGACGGAAGGGCAAGATGGTCATTGCCTGCCGAAAATGTTCGACCACAACACAAAGAAGCACAAGAAGAAGAGTCGCAAGAACAAGCACGATGGAGGACGCAGTGACAGTGGCAGCAACAGCAGCAGCAGTGATGAGAGTGATAACGAGAAATCCTCAAAGAAGGCAAGCTAAAATAATACATTGACAAAAGTAAATGTTTTGCATGAAGGTTGTACTTCAGTGTTCCTTTGTCCACATTATTTGATATAATTTGTTTCGACTTAGTTAGTTTTTATGATTCCGTGAATAATGCAGTGTTAAGAGAAGACCACATGGAATAAGAGGGGGAACGGACCGAGTGCATGAAAATGGCATACTACCTACTACTACTACTACTACTACTTCTGCTATTGAATAAGACAAGTGAATAATATAAATGGAATTCTGATCTCTGTTGAATCTGCTAAGGTTGAACATAGACCTATTTAGGAGTTCCGTTTAAATTAAGATCACATGGTCGCAGTATATATATTTATTGACTCGTTTGTATTTGCAGTTATGAATGTTGTTGTGTTGACCCCCTCTGTAATGAAATATATGTGTGTATCTATTTTAAAGTATATATAATGATTGTATTTTAA